TTTAATAAATGAGGAGCCTAACTAAGGGTTCCAATGAGGTTACATTGGTCATTCAGCTAGTCAGATGGCAAAAATTGAAACTACTTCTCTTGATTCTCAGACCAGCACTTTCCCCTAAATTGGTACTTCCCAATTTTCACTTCTTGACATACTTAGAAAATAGTGTTTGTATGGCACATTTGAATAATCTGGAGACCACTTATCATAATACCATGAACCCTGGTTTCACCAACCCCCAGGTTGTCTCCCCATGGGCTGAGGAGCTTTGCAGAATTCTTAGTACATAAGTTGAGAAGCTCTGCCTTGATATACCTTGTCTTTATCATGTGTGTACTTCATTATTTTTTTCTGAAGTGTGTTTGCAGCTTCTCGTTAGAAGTTACCTTAGTAGGTTCTATCAGTCTTTTTCTGGTTGGTAGACTATTCTAAGTGTTAAATGAAATTATATATAAAGGCACTAAAAAAAACGTTAAAGAATGGAAGAATAAGGTGTTACGGTAGGTCATCAAGCTGTCATAATTACCATGGCATTTTTAAAATCTTTCCATTTCTGTACCTCAGGTACTGGTATTTGACAGTGGATGTTTAATATCCAAAGAACTATAAGGTGGAATTATACCATTTGATCCCTGCTTTCAGTTAATTGATACCTTAACCAGTTAGGTCCAATTTGCTTTCCTCTCTATACATAATTCAGGGCTTCTGAAACTTTGAAGTGCCTAGAAATCACCTGGATAGTTTGTAAAAAAANTTTTTTTTTTTTTTTAAGAAAGTGATTATGGAGCTAGATTTTTAAAAACACTGTAAAATACTAAGTGCTTCCTTTAGTTGTAAGTTAATATATATTTGTAACCTTTGTCAAATTGTATTCATATAAAAATTTCAGCTTAAATTCTTGGGGGCAATCCAGTTATGTAATATTTAATTAAAACTTTGAATCCATGCCTTCCCCCACTCCATTAAATAATATGTATATAGTAATGGGTATGGAACAAGTTTCATCATGGATGAAAATACACTGAACATATTGTCTTCTTCATATAATCTGAAAATAAGATGTAGAAGTGCTGTTGAGAGTCTTTAAAATAAACTATTTTTGTAAACTTATACTTTGGAGATTGATTTTGATTATATATGCAATTTACTTTGTTACCCTAATTTTTTTTTAAAGCAAGTGAAGGGTATGGACGAGGAAAGCCTTGTATATTGGCAGAAGCTCTGACTGTAGCTAAAGTTAATATTTATTTATTATGCTTAGGCATGCGGTCATTATATATGCAGATTACCATTATTTGGGCACTATTTAGAAGGCTTTACTATTTAGCCACTTAAAAGGGACACAGCAATTATTCACAATAAGATATATTTAGGGATTATGTCTTCCGTATCTGTTTCCCAGTATCTCACATGCCTAGGACAGATTAGGTGCTTAGTAAATACTTACGGGATGACGGCATGAATTTAAATTTTTTTGATTAAATGTACAGTGACTTATTTTACATCATGAAATATAAATAATGTAAGGGAAATTACAGAGTTTTAGAACTAGAAGATGCCTTTGAAATAGTCTAAATTAGTTTTCGTTTAATAAATGAGGAGCCTAACTAAGGGTTCCAATGAGGTTACATTGGTCATTCAGCTAGT